TGAACTGATAATCCTAGAGGTTCACATACTTTTGCCACACACAAATATGTAGCTTTGGATCTTTTTCTGCAATAAATCAATGAACAAGGATAATGTTTTTGACTCATTTGTGTAATTGGGTTCTCTTGATCTAGTTTAAGGACTTGTGTGGAGAACAGGTCAAGTTTTAGGTCATATTTATGCAGAAATATTGAAAATTCAAAAGGGTTCACAAACTTATATGCACATGCTGAACCTAGATTCCTTCATTTATAATCTCTTTATGAAATTATAAAAAATGAAGTAATTAGGTTAATGGGCCTAATCCAGCCTACAGTTCCCAGTGGTATGTGAAAAGTTGTGTAACATGTCCTTCAACGGATAGGAGAATTTCAAAAATTCTGTTGCCTGCTCTGTTTAGCCACATGAGTCTCACTTCATATTTAAGTTGTCCTTTTATTTAATGCAGGTTCCAGAATATTTACAAGCTAGGGAATACAAGTTCCATATTATAGCATGGGGCTTCTGGTAAATTAGAGACTTCAAGCAATTGAGAAATGCTGGAGAACAGCCCCTAACTGGACTTATTCACTGTGGAGAACTTATAGCAGCTTGTTAAGAAGCAGCTTGCTTTGATGAGTCCACTTTATAGCAAGTTGGTACACTTCACTTAGACAGGTGTTACTGGAATTCCTTAAAAAGATTCAGCAGTTCTCCATAACTGGCTGTGTTTCTAGACATGGACTTCTTGAGCAAAAACCCAATAAACAGTAAGGAAAAGCTTGACTTGAGCTGAATTTAAACCTATTCTGGATGGGATTGCATTTACCCAGGAAGACCATATTTACAATTTGGGAGTGCTTTTTAATTCCTAGCTGCCACTGTCCAGATGACATCTGTAAAGAAGAGTACAACCTTTCCTGAGTTCACTGAACTTTCTGTGCTGATCTTCGGCCATTTTTAAGTTTACATTTCAACTTTTACTGAACTTAGTGACAGTTTAGTGACAACCATGGTTTGATTGTAGCCTATCCTTTAGTGCAGTTTACATAAAATCTAGCCTCAAAATGTGTCCATAAATTGCAATAGATAGAAAATGCAGCAGCCAGGCTGCTGACTGCTACATGACACAGGGTTTATATTATGACTGTACTAAAACATCTGCTTGGCTACCAGTTGCCTGCTAGCCACAGTTTAAGATGCTGGTGTTGACCTTTCAAGCCTTAAATGGCTTTGGTTGTGATTATCTGCAGGACTGCTCTCCTTCTATGCTTAATAAATCTGGTCAGTTGCAGAGGTCCTTCTGAGGATACCCTCATGCCAGTAGCTCAACTACTGGGGACATGGAAGAAGGCCTTCTCCCACTGGTTTCTACATTCCCAGACTATGGAATGTGCTCTCCAAGGAGGTTCATTTGGCTCCCACTTTCCCAAAATTTAGAAAGATGATAAAAACATTGTATTTTTTTGAAGCTTTTAACTGTTAATTATTTAAATGACTATTTTTAATTTTGATTTTAATTCAATTAATTTTAAATTGTATGTTCTTTCTTATTGTAAGACAATTGAATGTTGTACTAACAGAAAGGCAGGGTATAAATTCTCTAAATAAATAAATGTTAGTTCACTTTATCTAGAAATTACTGAAGGCTTAAAAAGAAAATAGTAAAGAAAAAATATTCATATTTTTCAGAGTTGTAAATGAACAGGATGTGGTGGAAGGTGTAAGTATGTTATAATTTTTACTCTTCTTTCAATTCCTCAAGCAATAATTTGATAGAAAATAGAGTGATACAGTCACTCCTTGTTTAGCTACTACCTTGGTTAACAACCATTTGCAAATACAAAGGTAATAAAGAGTAATAAAAAATTAATTTTCCAACCAATGCACGCATTTAGGACCAAATTTTGTGTGTCTGACAACAAAAGCATTTAATGTGAAACTGACTAAGGTTTGGTCAGTTTCAGGCAGCAGAGCAGCTGGCTGGAGGGTTCTAATCAACTAAGATCACAGCTGAGCTTGTTAACTTGCAGTTAGCACTTTTTAGGGAAGTGCCGCCCTGTGGAGAAAAGCAGCTCAGGAGGAGATAACTTGTCTAAGCAATCTCTCTTGCCTTTGAGGAGGCAAGAAAAGGGGGCGGGGGGGATCAGGCACAGGACACTGTACAAGAGAACTTTATCTGAATGAGATGGCAACCAGGATCTTCGCAGCATCTCTCTCTGTCAGTGTGCACTTAACCATTTTGCTTAACAACCAAGTTGTTGGAATGGAATGTGATCGCTAAATGGGGAGTGGGTGTACAGAAAATAATGATATTCTGCATACATGCAACCAAGGATTTGATTGTATACAACCAACCAACAGGTATTACATATTCTTGTCCTACTCCCTGCTCAGTGTTGAACCATTCACAGAGTATTCTATTTATTCTCATGCATGCTTTACTTCTAACATATATCAAGCTTATCACATTCGTCATCTAACTCTATATTCACAAAAAATGTTCTGTAACATTTTTATACTACCCAATACTCCGCATACATTTTGATACTTTCTTATATAATCCTTTTCATGCTGCCGCAAGCAGTTTCCACAAACTCTTTCCTTATATCTGTTCATTTTGGGGTGAGATTAAGCTATCTTTTAATATTTTATTAATACTTTTTAATGTTATCTTTCTGCAGTTCTACCTGCACTTTGGTTTTGTTGCCTTCTTTACTTCCATGTCCATTTTTTCCAAAGATCCACTGTTGACACTACCAAAAAATGATCTGTCTCACATTGAGAATCTCTAACCACCCTTAATTTTATTGATTGATTGATTGATTGATTGATTGATTATATTTATATAGCCGCCCATCTCACAAAAACAGTGACTCTGGGCAGTGTACAACACTCAATTAAAAAACCCAAAGCTACGTATAAAAGAATCATCTAAGCTATAAAAACACACACAACAGGAGAGGATGATGTTAACCACAGTAAGGGAGCCATTGCAAAATCTCCCTGGTTCTCTAGGACCCCCAGACCTGATCACATAGCCAGGTCTTGAGGAACTTGTGGAATGTTAAGAGGGATGGAGCTAATCTCACTTCTGCGGGGAGAAGATTCCACAAGGCAGGGGCCACGGCAGAGAAGGCCCACCTCCTGGAACTCACCAAAAGGAATTCCCTGGCAGGTGGGACCTGCAGCATGCCTTCTCTGCCAGACCTGATGGGATGGGCAGATGTAATTGGGGAGAGGCAGTCCCTCAAATAACCCAGCCCCATGTCATGAAGGATTTTAAAGGTTAAAACCGGGACCTTGAATAGCACCTGGAAGCAAACTGGCAACCAATGTAGTTTGTGGAGCAGAGGTGTAACGTGTCTTTTTAGGGGTACACATAACTGCCCTTGCTGCCAAATTTTGCACCAGCTGAAGCTTCCAGATATTCTTTAAGGGCAATCCCATGTAGAGCACATTGCAGAAGTCCGTACGGGAGGTGACCAGGGCATGAGTGACAGTGAGCAGAGCCCCCCGATCCAGGAACAGGTACAACTGGTGCCCAACACAAAGGTGTGGAAAGACCTTCCTAGCCCCGACTGCCATCTGCTCTTTGAGCAGGAGTTGTGAGTCTAGGAGGATCCCCAGATTGTGTACCAAGTCTGTCTGGGGCAGTGCCACCCCATCCAGCACCAAAGATCACATAATCCTAGAACCAGAAGTCCCCAAAATCCACAGTCACTCAGTCTTGCCAGGGTTCAGCTGAAGCCTGTTGTTCCCCATTCAGACCCTCACAGCCTCCAGGCACCAGGATAAGACATTCACAGCATTGCTTAATTTGCCAGGGGCAGAGATGTATAACTCCATGGCGATGGATGAGCTCACCCAGTGGCCTCATGTAGATGTTAAATAGGAGAGGGGAGAGAACTGAACCCTGTGGGGACCCCACATAGTAGGGATCAGGGGCGGGATCTCCCCTCCCCCACCACCACTGACTGGAATCAGCCCCAAAGAAAGGAGGTGAACCAGCACAACACAGTGCTGCCCACCCGGAATTCTCTGAGCCGATCCAGAAGGATACCATAGTTGATGATACTAAAAGCCACAGAGAGGTCAAGTAGGGCAAGGATGGATGGACGATCCCCATCCTGCCCTCACCAGAGATCATCCAAAAGTGCAACAAATGCAGTTTCCATCCCATACCCAGGCTTGAATCCTGACTTGAAAGGGATCCAGATAATCCACTTCACCCAAGGTCCTCTTAAGTTGCTGCACAACCACCTTCTCAATCACCTTCCTCAAAAATAGATACTGGACGAAAATTGTCCAGTAATAGGGTCCAGTGATGGCCTATTGAGGAGAGGGCGAACTGAAGCCTCCTTAAGAGGTGAAGGAACAACCTCCTCACTCGAAGCATTAAACATCACTAGAACCCACTCACATATCACCCCCCGGGCCGCTTTAACAAGCTAGGAGGGGCATGGATCTAAAGAGCAGGTGGCTGAGCTCACAGCTCTAAGGACCCTGTCCACTTCCTCAGGCCCAATTGGCTCAAACCGTTCCCAGATAACAGGCCGAGACTCCTCCCTAGGCATCTCCATTGGACCTGCAGCAAAGCCAGTGTCCAATTGCAAACAAATGCAAGTGATTTTGTCTAACAGATGCTGAGCAAATTTCTCCACAAGCCCCTGCAAGAAGCAAGCCCCCCTTACCCAGGATGGCTCATGTCACCCAAAACAAGGCTGCGGGGTGACTATCTGCAGATGTAATAAGAGTAGAAGAGTAGTGATGCTTTGCCGCCTTTACTGCCACTAGGTAGGCCTTAATAACAGCTCTGACCTGTGTTCCTTCAAATATTTTATCATAAAGAATACATTTGATCATGGTATCACAATTTGGGCATAATGTATCCACCAAGGTTGAAATCATTCATTTCAGACAGGATTTTAAGTCAAATCAACTTTTATAATAAGATGTGATACCAGCTACCAGCTTGGCTGGCTTCATAAAAGAGTTGGACCTATTCATGGAAGTCATGGGGATGAATGGCTATTAGCCCTGATGGCAGTGTGACTGCCTCTGAAGTCCATCTGCCTAGTGGACTCCTTGTGCCGTTGGTTGGCCACTGTGAAAACAGATTGCTGGACTAGATGGGCTGGGAGTCTGATCCAGCAAGCACTGCTTATATTATGTTAACTTTTCTTTACTAGAATGGAATTGCTTGACCATATTACACATGCACACACTCACCTTCACATGAACACACATTGCTAACTAAATCAAACTGTTAAGCTGACCTGGCAAAATGTAGGGTGATGAAATGATCCAAGGCTTCAGGTTGACAAGATGGATCTTTAAAATCCTCATTATTCTATCCCCCTCTTATACAGTAAACACTCTATGTTCTCTCCAAAGGAGGGACAAAATTCCTTTTGATGTCCCAAATATTTGGAGGTGTCTAGCCTTTCTTGACACTCGGTTTTCTTTATGTTAGAAATTACAGAAAATTCAGCAAGAATTTCGAAAGCTAGCAGAAGAAAAAGAAATAATGGAGGATGAACTTCAAAAAATGAAAGCTTCAGAGGTATCTATGAATAGAATTCAATTTTATGAATAGAATTGAAGCTTCAGATATTATAGATACATTTAAAGCAAAAATCTTTAACATAATGGGTCTTATTTCTGAGAATGACCATTGAATAAGGATTGTACTATGGAGCTGATTAAGGTAGATAAACAGTTTGGTGCTGATCCCTTCTTCTAATCTATTAGCCTTTTTCTGGGGCTGTCAACACTATATTGTGGGATAAGGATATGGTTCTCAAATGCCAAGTCTCTTTGTATTAAGATTGTGCTCCTTCATTATTTGCTCCTGGAGGAATGAGCACACCTAATTTGTATAACTGAAACTTGGCTGAGTGAAGAAGGGGGTATTTTTTTGTCCAAAACCTGCCTTCAGATAACTCTGGGCAATTGTGTATACTAAGTTGGGCTTTAGGGACAACTTATGGATTCTGCTGATATATGACCCCCTAGCTTGCCTGCATTACTGTCTAATTTTCTTATGCTCATCTTGGAGTTGGTGATTGAGTCCTCTAGGCTATTAATTCTGGGAGCTTTAATCTCTGTTTCCTTGAGATGAGGTTGATAATGAATTAGGAATTTCTGGCCTCCATGACAGCCATGGGTTTGTCCCAACTGACATTGATCCTGGCCAATGTAGTGAACTCACACTGGATCTAGTTTTCACCTTGGAGCAATTGAAGCTTGATCTAAAGATTGAGGACTTAATTACTGGTCCTTTGTCATATTTAGATCTCTTCCTGGTCAGCCTGAGACTTTATGGGGACTAGATCACTCTTCTCTCTCTCTCCAACTTATACTTGTTCATATGGGCTCTGTCAGGATTATTTGTTCTTGTTGAAAATGCCAACAATGTATGTAATGCCTTATGTTAAATCTAGTTTGCTTGGTGATAGTCTGATTAGAAATATAAAATGACACTTGTAGCATTAGATTCTCTGCCTGGAATGTTTAAGAAAGGGGTGGGGGGGTGGGATTCATATGAATAACTGTAGCAGAGTATAAAGAAACAAAATCTATAAAATAATTTATCCCAATGCAGATATAAGAAGAGCTAATGGTCAAACTCCCACCTATAGAGATGAGAATTGGTTGAAAAATGCTAAAAGTTAAGATACATTGGAAAGTAAAAGAAAGAAGTTGAAGTCCAGTAAAAGAATGAATTCATATTAGGACTCTCTGGCAGTTTAAAAGATTGTGCTGAAGCTGAGAAAGAAAAAGGAGTATCTCCCAATGCAAATAACCAGCAGATAAGGGATCCCATTACAGGCCTATCTACTAAACAGACTCCTATCAAACAAACAGGATTCCTATCTTAGTTTTCAGGATTCTGTATCCTAACCCCTAATTCTTGGTATTAACACTGATTAAAGAAAGTCTTTTAAAGTTACTTCCTTGATCATGCTCAGCAGTTAAGAGGCTTGTCAGGCAGATATTTCACACATCTTTTATGTCTTCAAAGTCCAGATAGCTGTTTCCCAGTCTTTGATTGGTTCTATCCCCTCTGCTTGCTCTGGGCTCTCATTATGTCCATCTTTGGGCCATCAGGATTTTTTCAGAAGAACTTTGCTTGTCATTAACAGTGATGCTTGTCAGAAAAGGAGTCACTTCATGTCATTCCTCAGCTTTCAACTGTGATTTGTTTACATCCTCCAAGTACCTAGCATTATCTCTCCCATTTTTCACACAGCATTTATCAAAGTATATTGCATAACCAGTCAGAAGAGAGAAAATAAACAAAAACTCAGAGAAGGGAGGGCACCAGGGAAAAAAGGGTTCCACCTTAGGTTTGTGAACTAGTACATTTTTATACATTCTAGTTTGTTGTTGTTCATTCAGTCAGTCACTTCCAACTCTTCATGACCAGATGAACATAATTTTGCCAGGATTGTCTGACAGTAATTTCTTCTTTGAATTCTTGTAAGCCCATCGCTTACGTCAACAGTGAGAGAGTATCCAGCCAGTTTGTCCTCTGCCAGCTCTTTTTAGACTGTTTTCCATTTTTCTGAGCATTAAGGTCTTGTCCAATGATTCTTTCCTTCACATCAGTGTCCAAAATAGTTAATAGTTAGTAAACAATACCCTAATCAAGGAACTACCAGAAAGGAAAAAATAAAACAAAACAAAATCCCCACCCCCAGCAACACTGGCAGGGCATGCCACTGTATATAAACAGAGAGCAAACACCATTCCATTCTAGCACCAAAGATATTACCTAGCCGGGTAATGAAACGTTTGCAAGAAAACAATCAAACTCAGAGAACCCCAAGGACTCCACAATTCAACCCTGAGCTACACATATTCTCTTCTCTTGGTAGTTAGCCTCGTTGTTAGTACTTCCAGTGAGCAGTCTGGTTTTGCTTCATCTAGTATTGAATGATTTGTTTTTCAAAATTCAAAAGGATTATTTATTTTTGGTTCAGCCTTTCTGAAGTTTAGCATTTACAGCCATATTTTACAAAACTATTGCCTTGATTGTGCATACCTTTGTTGGTAGTGTAACACCTTTGCTCTTAAATATTTTGTCTGTTACTGTCTTTCTCTCAAGTAGCAGACATACCTTTATTTTATGGCTACAGTCACCTTCCCTATAAAATTTGTTCAACAGCTTCTCCATTTATTTGCAGTGATTGGCATTGCTGATTGACATAACCTTAATTTATTATACTGAGGAGCAGATTAGCTTTTTTACTCCCTTCTTCTACCTTCAACAGATTTTCCTAAGTCTTTTTTGCCTGTAGCCATCGAAGTGGAATCATCAGCAAATCTGATTTTTCTTGACTGAACACAGCTTCTCCATCTTTACTCGCAGAATATGTAGTCAGTTTGACTTTTCTGTTGTCCATTTGGTGATGGCCACGTGTAGAGTCATATGTAAGATTGGTGGAAGAAGATATATGCTATAAGCCACACTGATTATGACTCAGATCATGAACTTTTCACAAAATCACAATTTAAATTAAAACAAAATGATCAGATGAATAAGATATGTCCTCAGCAGTATTCTATATGATTATGTGACTTAATGGATTAGATTTGATATATTGAAGAACTCTGACCATGTGATAGAACAAGCAAAAATATCCTAAAATGCAAAGAGCAAAGGAAGCAAAATGGCTATCTGTGACTACACTGAAAATTGCTGAAGAAAGACAGAAAAACTAAAAGGCAGCAGATCCTGTTGGTTTTCTCAGGTGTTTTTCATACTATTGATTATGGAATCCTTCTGAATGGGTTATAAGAATGGGAATTGGGGGCATTGTTTTGTAGTGGTTTTGCTCCTTTCTGAGTCCCAGTGCTTTGTTCTCTCATCCACACTCTTTAATACCTACGTGGAGCTGCTCAGGGAGAACATTAGTTTTGTGTGAGATATGATTTCTATACCAATGATACCAGTTATATGTCTCAGCTAGAATCCAGACAAAAATTATTGTGGAAGTCCTTACCTGATGTTTGGATGCCGTAAGGGTCTGGACAGGATGAAACAAATTGAAGGTGAATCCTTACAAAATTGAGTGGTTGTCCAACAACCATGTGATGGGTAGGTAGCTCCCCTATTGGCTTTGGAGGGGGTTGCATTCTCCCTGAAGGAGCAAATCTATAATTTGAGATTGCTCCTAGATTCACATCTCTATTTAAATAAGCAGGGGAAGCCATGATCATGGTACCTTTGCCTAATTTTGGGTGGTGCATCAGTTGTGGCTCTTCTGCATGGTGTTCAAGAGCAACTCCAAATACAGCACGTTGCAATATTCTAATGAAGAGGTAATGGGTCATGAGTGACTGTTGCCAGTACCGCTTGCTCCCAATTACCTCTCGATTGGAATATTGCAATGTACTATATTTAAGCTGCTCTTGAATACTGTGCAGAAGCTGCAGTTAGTACAAAATGCAGCAGCCTGCACACTGATGGGTACAAGTCAATCCAGCAATATAATACCTATTTTGAAAGTGGTGCATTGGCTTCCAGTAGGCTTCCAAGGACAGTGCAAGATGCTGATTTTAATCTAGAAAATCTGTATGGTAAGGGCCCAGGATATCTACTGGATTTTTTCCTTTAAGTTGACTCTGACTGGCTTATTGAGGGAATGTTCTGGTTTCTTCAGTTTGGAAAGGGGGGGTGGGGTGTACGGATTTCAAAGCAGTGGTTTTCTGTTACTGCCCCAATCCTCTAAAATATGCTTTCTCCTGAAATCAGACTAGCTCCCACTTCAGCCCCTTTTTGGAAAGGTTACTCAAGATGACTTTTCTGGAAGTCATCTGGTTTCTGGTTACTCAAGATGACTTTTCTGGACTTTTCAGGCCATTGGAGACTAGCACCTGTGCTTTGCTTTCTATCCCATTGGCAAAGGACTATTTTAAATTTTACTGAAGTTTTATGAGAGTTCTTATGATGTTTACAGTTTATTGTTCTTATTATTTCATTTGTAAAATGCTAAGAAATGTGTGATTGTGGTGATATAGAAATAGGTTAGGCTAGGTGTTGGATTAAGAGTGAGTTTGGAAAATTGTGTGTTCTGAGTTCTGTCACTGAGATTGTTAGACTAATCAAGAGGGTGCCATGGGTGCCATTCCCATGGCTGAAGTGTTGCTATTCTAGTCATCTTTTGGTCATATTGGCAACCTGAGCAAGTTATTTGCAAACTGTTCAATTTGGTGTTCTGTTTCTGGCCACCAAACAAACATCTATCACAAGATCTCCAGCATGTAACTCTGCCAACAACTGAACTTTCAGCTTTGACAGAATTATGACTCTCAGTCCCCACATAATACAGTAGCTGTGAGTTGTGTATTCATTAGAGCACTGATAAAACTCCATAAGCTATTTGCTGTGTAGACTTGAGACTCTTTTGGGTCTCTCTTAATTACTGTTTGAAACATCTCTTCTGTGATAGGAAGACTCTCAGTCTGTGAGAGAAAACATGTTGTGAAATCTGTCTAATGTGGATTTTTCAGAATTGTTTATCCTGTAGAAGTAAATGAGACAGTTTGTCCACATTT